TTAAAGAACTAGACATAAGACCTGAAACCATAAAATACATAGAAGGAAATATAGGCGAAACACTACGTGATTTGCACATCAAAGACATCTTTACAGACACATCACCCAAAGCAGTGATAGTGAAGGCAAAGATCAACAGCTGGGACTACATCAAATTAAAGAGCTTCTGCACAGCAAAAGAGACAATAACAAAAACAAAGAGAAACCCCACCAACTGGGAGAACATCTTTGCACACAACACTAATGATAAAGGACTGATCACAAAAATCTGCAAAGAGCTGATGAGACTCAACAACAACCAAGAAAATAATCCAGTCAATAAATGGGCAGAAGAGCTAAAAAGAAACTTCTCTGAAGAGGAAATGCAAATGGCTAACAGGGATATGAAAAAATGTTCAACATCACTTGCAATCAGGGAAATGCAAATCAAAACTACCATGAGATACCATCTTACACTAGCGAGAATGGCACATATTAAAAAAACTAGCAACAGGAAATGTTGGCGAGGATGTGGAGAAAAAGGAACTCTTCTGCACTGTTGGTGGGAGTGCAGACTGGTCCAACCACTATGGAGAGCTGTGTAGAGATTTCTGGACCTACTAAACATAGAGCTTCCATATGATCCAGCAATTCTACTCCTAGGTATTTACCCAAAGGACACAGAAACATCAATTCCAAAGAACACCTGCACCCCTATGTTTACAGCAGCACTATTTACAATAGCTAAGCTTTGGAAACAGCTCAAATGCCCAAAAATAGATGACTGGATCAAGAAGATGTGGTACATATATACCATGGAATATTACTCAGCATTCAAAAAAGATAAACACATGCAATTTGCAGCAACATGGATGGCGCTGGAAGGGATCATGCTCAGTGAAATAAGCCAAAAAGAAAAAGAAAAATAACGGATGGTCTCACTCATAGCAGGAATTTAGAAAACTTAAATAAGGGACCAGGAAAATGAATAACTATAAGAAAATGAAAATCAAAATCAACAAAAAACTATGAACCAGAGACACTTTTTGGGGGGTGGGGGGCGGGAGGGGAGGGATTGGGGTCAGAATGGGGGGGTTGCAATTGTATGGGGAATATAAAAATAAAATTTATTATTTAAAAAATAAAAAAAAATTAAAAAATAAAACAGCTCCCCTGCTAGGAACAAATATCCTACCGACATTCTTATTAGTCTAACAACACTCTAAAAATGGGTTGCTTCCCTGGTAAAATTCATTCCCATGTCACTATCTCGAAACTTGCTATTACACTGCTGCTCATCGTTAGTAAACCTAATACTCAACGGCTGGCCCAAATGACTACACATGTTACTGAGGGCCCTTAGCCGCTGCTATACTTCTCACTCTCCTCTTTAAACCTTAACTTACGCAATCTCCTAATTAAATTTGTTTCTTCTAACCTAGGGGAAGCTCGTCAAGTTTAAACTCCTCCAAGCAAAAACAGCTGATCCATACAAGAAGAACAATAGCCTGTCCAGATGCCCTACCTTTGGACTCCAGATGTCCCACCCCTTGCCTCCTTCCAGAACCACCAATAGACAGCTCAGGGATTAGTGTTAGGGAGACCATATTCCAGGGCCCTTTCAGGTAGGGCCAGCTCTACATCCCACTCCAGCAGGAAGCTGCTACAGAAAATGGATCTCCTCCCTTCAACTCTCCAAAAGATTTTGGGCCGGATATGGTCAGGGGGAATGATGGAGGACAAGAATAGAAAGACTGGAAAGGATGTGGTGCCCCAAGACCAAAACTGAAAGGTTGATGCAGGGGGCCGGAATACAAAAGTCCACCAGAGGCAGGAAGCCTACCTAGAAAAAAAATCAGACAATAAACCTCTTCCCACCCTACAAACCTTTTCCCGCCTTACAAACCTAGTTTCCCACCTGACTTCTCCTCACCCTATAAAAGCCTGCCTCCCTCGGCAACTTACGCAACTTCATTGACCCCCACCTTGGGTCCATGAATCTCGCCCAGGGGCGCAATAAAGTTTTCCAGCCTGTGAGAAACTTGGCCTGGCTCTCCTTCTCTTTAGGGCGCCAAGCCTTTCATCTTGGTGCTGAAACTTGGGAAGGCTGTGTCTCCTGGCGCCGGGGCTGCTTTCCCATTCCTGGGACCTCTCCTCTCCATTGCAGACGCCTCACATCCACCACCAGCCTTGATTCTAGGGGTAAGTCACCTGCCTGACCCTCCTTTCTAGGAGGCCCTCGCCTCTGGCTATCCACCTCCTCCCCTAACCCCCTACCTCGGGGGCCCACGTCATAAACCATGGACCCACGTCAGGTGACTCCCATTATACCTAGACCTGGATTAGGGGACGCCAGTCCAGACTAGGTACCCAAATCCTAGGCAATAAACGAGTAGTGGAGATTTCCCTCTTGCTGGTTTGCCCCCGTTCCGAAGGTCAGGACCAAATTGTGGGATGCCGGGAATTGGGGTCTACGCCCCCCACGGCCAGATCAGGTTCTTGGGACACTACGTTCCTGACTCTGTGCCCCCGTGAGTTGGGAAAGGAGCCTACTTAGCCATGGAGTCTGCCAATTCTAAGCATAAGGAGGTGGGAGTAGAGGGGAATAACAGGACCATTAACCCAGCTGTAAAGGTTGGACCCTTAGGCACCAGTGCCTTATCACAAGGCAGGAGACCCAAGCAGAATCAGATGCTATAGGGCATGAAGCACAGACCTGAGGGTAAAGATATGGCGATTGGGTCCATCCTGGACTCTCTGGTCCCTTCCTGGTTTTGCCTGTTACCCAACATCAGCAACAAGCAGGCCACTTCACGGAGGGGTGAGCCTCTCCCAAAGAGAAAAGGACTGTATCAGTGCAGTCTCTGCACTGGCTCAGAGCAGCACTCCCACTGCTCACCTGTGACTGTGCAGGTGCCTCTATTCACCAACTCCCTCCTCTGCAAGGCAGCAGCCTTCCTGCCTGCCTGTGACCTGACAAGGCCACCCACCTGCAAACATGCAGGCCTCTCTTAGCAAACCTGTCCCTTTCCCTAATAAACCTGCTCTTTAATTATAACTAATGTCTCTGTCTAGTGGAGAAACGTGCCTGGGGAACTCGCTGCATGCTGCTGAAACGGAAGCTCCAGTGACACCTTTCCCAGAGTGAACCCAAGGACCCTGCACTAACTCCAAAAATCTCATCACTACCAATACTATTGTTCAAAACTATCAACTACTATACAGCAACATAATTACAGCCTCTGCCTTTTATCTACTGTTATTTGAAATAAACACAAATGAGCCTAAGTTTTCAAGTTTCTATCTTCTAATTTGTTCCATTATCTACTGACTAAGATATAAGTAGTTAAGCCCACTTGGTCTGTTTTCCAAAAATGCAATTACCTGGTCCAAGCACTTTAGCACTTTCTTGAATGGACGGATTATCAATCCTTTTCACACAACAATATAGTCTTCTCCAACACTTCTACTAAAAATGTTCTGGGCATGTCTCTATTCTTGCTTTGCTTGCAAAGAGGGGATATAAGCCACTGTATACAAAACCAGAATACAGACTCACAACCTAGGGAGTGTTTCTTCTTTTCCCCACTTAACCTTTATTTGTATTGTTAGCACCATGGCCATTCACACTCACCAGCAGAATTACAAGCTTTTACATACAGATATGTGCTTCTTTATGGCAAGTACCAATTCCTCAATTTGCTGCCCCCCCCCCAACTCCCCGCCGCTCCCCACCCAAAGAAAGAAGATGAAGAAAGAAAGCAACTATCTTCTTTAGGGCTTTGAGAAAGGTAGAGGAAATATGTTACAGGGGAGAGTATGTGACAGTGAAGTTTACAGTCAAGACCGCTCCCATAGTGTTTTAACTTGCAGGGGCAATATTTTCGTTCCCTTTACAAGATGCTATAAAACTGGCAAACACAAAGGCCAGAAGTTAGCCGGGTAGGTGGCTGACTTCCAGGATTACCCTTCCCTGGAGAATTTCTTCTCTCACTGGGCTTTAAAGATACCAGAAGCGGAAAACAGGACCTATTCCGAAAGATGCGCTGTAAATTTCATAGACCAGACTGAAGGTTTAGCACAAAGGAATGTAAACCATCTCATTCATTTTACATTGATGATGGAGGATAAGAATAGAAAAAACTAAAAAAAAAAAGGAGGCACCACAAGACCAGAAACCTGGCTCACACAAGGAGATGGGGTCAGAAGAGATTAGCATAACCAGACACTAGTATCCCGAGGTGCAATCTAAAGATACGAATATTGAGCCCAATAGACCCCAAAGGTAAAGATAAAGATACAGAGATCTAGCCCGTTGTAGAATCCCCGGTCCCTTTCAAATTCCACATAGTTATTCAAAATTAGCAACCAACTGACAGCTCACAAAGAGTGACCCCTTCCAAACAGAAGACTATATCAGTGCAGTCTCTGCACTGGCTCGGGGCAGCACTCCCACTGCCCACCTGTGCCTATGCAGGATGCCTCTTTTCACCAACTATCTCCCTCTATAGGGCAACAGCTTCCTGCCTGCCAGTGACTTGTCAAGGCCGTGCAGGTCCCTTTTAGCAAACCTTTCCCTTCTGAACCAGCTCTTCCTGCCCGCTTGTGTCTAAGCAAGTATACTTTACTTTCCTGACCCTTTTCCTAAAAAACCTACCCTTTAAATATAACGACCGTCTCTGTCTCGTGCAGAAACTCGCTGCCTGCCGCTGAAAGGGAATCTCTGGTGAAACCTTTCCCGGAGTGAACCCAAGAACCCCACACTAACTCAAACCACATCATTATCACAAGTTCTGAATATGAGCTCCTGGGTCTATGGGGCTGAGCAAAACGCATCACTAAATCCAAAGTCATAGCCTGTCCTCACGTCCAACTTCCAACGACACGGGCCAGGGGGTCGCGCCTACGGGCAGCGCCGGCTGCCCCGCCGCCCCCGCGGCCCCGCCCCGCTCTGGCGCCGCTCGAGCCTGAGGCCCGGGTACCGGGCCCGGGCCGAGCAGGAAGGCGGCGCCGGCGCGTACCCACTGCAGGTCTCGCATCGCGGGCTCCCGAATTTCCTCCGGGAGCGCTTCCCCGAGTTCCCTCACGAAGCGGCCGCACAGCTCCAGCACTTCCGTCACCGCCCGCTTCGAGGTGCAGCGCACCCGGAAGTCCTCTCGGGGGTGGCGGGGTCCGAGGCCCGGCCGGCCGTCCCGGCCTCGAGCTCCCCGTCGGTCGGCGGGACAAGGTCCTCAGGCTCAGACGCCGCCGCCGCCGCCATGCTTCCCGTTTGAACGTCAGGCGGGAACTGCTGGAGCGGAAGGGCGGGACCCGTGGAGGAAGGCGCCCCCGTCCGTGCGGAAACGTCGTCCGGCGGGGAGCCCAGCCCGCCGCCGCCGCAGCGTTCCGGCCGGGGCCCCGCGCGGCGCCATGGGGGCGGTGGTCGCCGGGCTCGTGGACTGTCATTGCCACCTCGCCGCCCCGGACTTCGACTGCGTACGTGAGAGCGAGGCCGGCTCTGGGAGCGGGGGGCACCGGTCCTTTCCCCTCGGTTGTCTTTGCGCCCCTTCGTTAGGACGAAGCCTCCAGCTCTCACCATCCACGGCCCCGGTCACCAGCTCGTGACTCAGCCTCAGTCCAGCTGGAGGCCAACCCTGACTTTTCTGTCTGACCCCGAGTGGCGGTGGCTCAGCCCCTTCACGGCCCTGTTCCTGGAGTCCTCCCCGGCCTCCTCGCTCCCGGCTGAGACGCCGCTGTCCCCACGCGCGGCCCTGGCGCCCCAGGCCCGCCCCGCACGGGGAAGAAGCTGCCCCTGGGGGCGGAGTGCCACCCGCTGCGCGGGAAGCGAGAGCCTGATCACGGAGGGAAGAGCGGGTTTGTTTTAGGACCAAAACCTTAGAGGCCCAAGCAAAGACAAGGCGCCAGCCAGCAAGCGAGAGGTGGGGGTGAAATGGTGGGCAAGGCCAGCGGGTTGCAGCACGAACAGCTTAAAATTGGCTCAAGGGCCGGTGGAGCCCGCTGAGCTAGAGAGAAGCAAGAGACAAGACTGAGGAGGTTTGCAGGGGAGCCTAGGGGTTTGGATTTCCTTAGAACAGTGCAGGTCCAGAAAAGGTGTGTGTGTGTTCCGGAGTGGGGTGGGGGGCGTGTTTTAAGGAGAGTGACAGGATCTGATACACATTTAAAAACCATTTGCTACTGAGTCACCAGTAGATGGAGGAGAACTGAGGTTTCTAGACCAGTTTGGAGGCTTTTGCAGTGTATAGACAAGAGGTGATGGGCTCCAGGGAAGCAGTTTGAGAGGGCAGCTGTAGGTGAAGTCAAGGCAAGCTTTAGAAATAAAGTCTGTAGTGTGAGCTGAGGAGCTGGAGAGGGAGGAAAAGTGAGGACTACAGGTGCTTTGGGAAGATGGTGGTACTGTTCATTGAGGCCAGGGAAGGTGAAGTTGGGGAGAACAGGTGGAAGGAATAAGTTTCTTGGGAAGGAAACAGAGACTTAAGTTTGCATATGTTGAAGCCTAGTATCCATGAATCCTGCTTTTCCTCCCTGGCTACCTGAGGACCCACTGCCCTCTGAAAGACACAGTAACATACACACCGGGAAGTTCATGACCCACCGACTGCTTCAGCAGAAACATATGGGAAGGTGACGGTGCCTAAGAGCGGTTAAGTCTCAGCGCTGTCTTCACCACGGCCTCAGTTCAGTCCCCCAGGGAGCCGACACACAGGGCGCAGCAGACCTCTCCTGTCTTCCCACTGCTCCCCACTCTGTTGCTGATGAATCCTCACACCCCCCATATCTGCACCCCAGTTCTTCACAAAAATAAATAAAAATTTTTTAAAGATTAAAAAAAAAAAACAACGGGCCTCCCTGGTGTTGCAGGGGTTAAAGACAGTGCTATCAAGCTATTGGCAGCCTCTGCAGCACCAGTTCGATCCCCTGCCAGGGAGCTACCCACATGGCACAGCAGACCAGTCCTGTCTCGCCTGCTGCCACCCTCAACAGTGGATTTCAGTCAGTTTGCCTGTTCTGTTCCCCACTCTGTCTCTGGTGAATCCTCTCACACACCTCCGCCTCTGGCCTGTACCCCAGTTCTTCTGTGCATAAATCTTTTTTTAAAAAAAATATTTATTTATTTATACAAACACTGGGGTACAGGCCAGAGGCACGGGAGGGTGAGAAAATTCACCAGAGACGGAGCAGGAAGCAGAACAGGCAGAAGTACCAAAGTACACTGCTGAGGGGAGCAGCGGGCGAGACAGGAGAGGTCTGCCACGCCATGTGGGTATCTTCCTGGTCAGCTGGGAATCTAACCGGCACTGCAAAGGCTATGGAAAGCACAGCGCTGCGCTCAACCCGCTGCACCACCGGGGAGGCCCTAAATAAATAAATATTTTTTTTAAAAAATCACATAAGGTGAGTACAGAGAGGAGCGTGGGGCCCTGAAATCAGAGGAGAGTGTGAGCCAGTCAAGGAGACAGAAGGGTGTCAGCTAGGAAAGAGTGGTGACTGACAGAGCTGCAGAAACCAAGAATGAGAGAGATTTCAAGAAGGAAGACGTGGCCAAGTGAGGCGTGCTGAATGCTGCTCACACAGAGTCGGGGGAGAGAGAGAAGTGTCCTTTATGTGTAACAGTACTGGCCCCTGTCTCGTTGGTTTGGGGACAGAAGCCAAATTTTGCTCAGAAGAGTAGTAAGCAGAAGGTAGCTCGGTGGAGGCCCCCACATTTCACCACCATTTCTCCCCACTGTTGTTTTGCTTTATGGCTCCAACTACATGGATGTGTGCCGCCAAAGAGCAGTAACTATTTCTGCTTATTCTAGGATCTGGCAGATGTGCTTGAGAAAGCCAAGAAAGTAAGTCAACCTCTGTATTTGCTGTTTTGTGTGTTTGCCTACTAAAACACCTTGAAGGCCTTCCTGGTGGCGCAGGGATTGGAGTCACAGCACTATCGAGCTATCGGCAGCCATTGCAGGCTGAATACGATCCCCAGCCAGGGAGCTGACCCACACAGTGCAGCAGACCGCTCCTGCTCCCCTCAGCAGTGTGTTTCAGTGGATCCACCTGTTCTGCTCCCCACTCTGTCTCTGGTGGATCCTCTCCTCCTCCCCGCATCCCTGGCCTGTACCCTAGTTCTTGTATGCATAAATAAATAAAAATAAATCTTTTAAAAATGAAATAATTTGGGGAAAACATACTAGTTTTTGGAAGAGTTTATGAAATTCACTAGAACTAGGATGTTGTGCTTGTCCCCACAATGACAAGCAGAGGTCAGCTCATTTATAAGTACTTTCACCGTACAGCTTATGTAGGAGCCCCGGCTCTGCAGTTACACAGGCCGTATGGCCTTGGGCAAGTTATTTGATTTCACCGAGAACCCTGTCTCCTGAGTGTACAAGGGATGGCAGCAAGACCTGCCCCATTGGGCTGTGGGCTCTCTCTCACACTCAGTGAGGACTCACTAGTAGCCATTCTTAATATAACGACAGTGTGGGTGAGCCAGGAGCGCTAACACCACGAAAATTTTAAACCTTATTTATATTAGATGTCAGTTGTCCAGATTATTTTTTGTTAAAGATTTATTTATTTATGCATATAATAACTTGGGTATAGGCGGGGGGGGGGGGTGGGGTGAGAGGACTCACCAGAGAGAGTGGGGAACAGAACAGGCAGATTGACTGAAATCCACTGCTGACGGGAGCAGCGGGCGAGACAGGAGAGGGTCTGCTGCACCATGTGGGTTGCTCCCTCGCTGGGGATGAAACTTGCACTGCAGTGGCTGCGGATAACTTCATAGGTTGTGTCTTAAGCCCTTGCACCACCAGGGAGGCCCTGTTGTCAAGATTCTTAACTGACCTGTCTTCTCTTTCCAGGCCAATGTCAGAGCTCTTGTGGTGGTCGCTGAGCATTCGGGAGAATTTGAGAAGATTATACAGCTCTCGGAAAGGTACTGCCCCTCATTGAGAATTTAAAGGGCTGCCTATAATGATGCAGTTACAACCTCATGTTTATGAAGCCAAACTTCATCCATTTTTAAAGAAAATGGATGAAAAAAATACTAGAAGAAGAAAAAATACTAACAGCCTTTTTTTTTTTTTTTTAAAGATTTATTTATTTATTTTTACAAACACTGGGTACAGTCAGAAGCGGGGGAGGGTGAGAGAATTCACAAGAGCCAGAGCAGACAGAAGGACCGAAGTACACTGCTGAGGGGAGCAGCGGGCGGCAGGAGAGGTCTGCGCGCCATGTGGGACCCTCCTCCGGAGGCCAGGGAGCAGCCGGGGATCGAACTGGCGCTGCAGAGGCTGCGGGCAGCTTTGCAACCCAGCGCTCAACCACTGCGCCACCAGGGAGGCCCACTAACAGCCTTTTAAAGACATTCTCTCCTACTTTAACACTGTCTACCAGTCTAACATCCTTGCTTCTTAACTCATCCTGCACACCTAGGTATGATGGGATCATCCTGCCGTGCTTGGGTGTTCACCCAGTTCAAGAACATCCCACAGGAGATCAAAGAAGTGTCACATTGAAGGTAATAGTCACATAAAACAAGAACCCTGGAAAATCTTTTTTTAAAAGATTTTATATATTTTTGCATAGAAGAACTAGGGTACAGGCCAGAGGTGCAGGGTGTTTTAGGATCCACCAGAGACAGAGTGGGGAACAGAACAGGTGGATCCACTAAAATACATTGCTGAGGGGAGCAGCAGGGAGTCAGGAGAGGTCTGCTGTGCCCTGTGGGTCAGCTCCCTGACTGGGGATTGAACTCAGGCTGTGGCAGTGATAATGCTGAGACTCAACCCCTAGGCCACCAGGGAGGCCCCAGATGATACCTTTTGATGCAGTAGTCTTCCTCCTGATGTATATTCCACAGCAACAATCCAAAAGAAGGTTGAAAAATAAAGGAGTAATGCATTAGCTTGTAGAGTGTTCTGGAAAAGGAGGATTCTAAGGTTTGGGTAGCAAGATGGAGTGTTCACAGAGTCACAGTGAGGAGAACAGGATGCCCAAAGTTTCTTCACCAAGGGTGACATTCCCATGGAATCACTTGTAAGCAAGTCTGGAGAGGAAAACAGAGTTTGTAGTGACTGAGACCGTCTGTACAATCAACGTGTTTGGGCACTTTTTCTGATACAATATCATGTTGAATAAAAAGTTTTAGACAGCCAAAAAGGAAAGATACAGATTCATCCCTGTAGAGCTAGAAGGGAACAGAAGAGTTCAGGCACACATTATCTTATTTCTTTCCCTCCTTCCTTTTCTTTCAATGGAAGCACATGGCATTGTGATGTTGCTAGCTTCCAGTGTGCGTCACTGCAAATCAACACGTGTGTCACCACAGCAGCCCCCCCAACCCCACCCCGGGCAGCTTCTTGGAACTGGAACATACCTGTAGGCATGTCTTGGGCTATTAAACTGCACTGCTTTTATGCTCTAAAAAACCCTGCCCCCCGGTTCTCCCTGAGGTACAGCATCTTGTGTTTTAGGCCTCTCTGGCCTGACTCAGCCTCAGGGAGGTTCAGCTTCTCCAGGGCCTCATTACACCCAGATCAGTAGCCCGGCCATGGAGATGTGGACTCTCTGTAACTATGAAACATGAAGGGATGAGGGCTGTCTTTGTTTTTCACATTTTTATTTTAAGATTTATTCATGCATACAAGAATTGGGGTGTAGGCCAGAGGTGTGGGGGGTGGTGAGAGGATTCACCAGAGACACAGAGGGGAGCAAAACAGGCAGATTGAGATACACTGCTGAGGGGAGCTGCAGGGAGACAGGAGAGGTCTGCTGCGCCATGTGGGTCAGCTCAGTGGCCGCGGATAGCTTCATAGTGCTGCCTCTTAACCCCTTGCGCCACCAGGGAGGCCCTGTTTTTCACATTTTAAAAGGGCAAGTTTATTAGGAAAAAGGAGAAAGAAAAGGAGGCATCTGCCTAACCATGGTGGGTGGGTGGGGAACCCCCTACTTTTTCACAATCATGGGTCTATTCCTATAAGAGGCTACCCTGGGCAGCTCTGCTAATTTTGAAGCAAAATTACTTTCACTTCACTTCGGGTGACAAGCACTTTCCCTGTGGCTCCTGAGTGGCCGTGAGATTCCAGGGCACTAGCAGTTCCCAAGGGCTGGGTCAGAGGCGGGCAGGAAAGACTTGCACTGGCAGACATCTCAAGTGGTCTGTTTCCTGGCCTGCCAGCCCTGCTATCGCTGTGCTCATCCCCACAGAGGGACCCCCTTGTGGGAACTAGGTCCTCCAGTTGGCAGCCGGACATCAGCACAAGACGCGCCAGCAGGGAGACAGCTGGTGCTATGCCTGGAAACAACAGTGTGGTAGGGCAGGCTGTAGGGTGTGCGGCCAGGGAAGGCCCACCTGCATGCCACGAGGAAGGGCCAAAGGGTAGGCTGAGGGGACAACCAGGCACCGGTCCTAAGGCAGGAGCAACTGGCTGCTCCTGGAAAGAGAAGGAAAGCCATGTGGCGGAGGGCGGGGCGGGGGGTAGTGAGAAGGGAGAACCTGGCAGCACCCCCGCATAGGGCCTGGGTAGTTTACATCCGTCATGGGAGGGCATTGCTACCCCTAGTTCCTGCTCCAAGAAACTGACTGTGTGCAGGACACCTGGTGTAGCATGGTCTCTGGCAACAAAGAGGTGTTTATAAAGTATCAGTTCCCAGGGCCTCCCTGGTGGCCTAGGGGTTGAGTCTCAGCGCTGGAGCCTGATTTCCATCCCTGGCCAGAGAGCTGACCCACAGGGCGCAGCAGACACTCCTGTCTCCCCGCTGCTCCCCTTAGCATTGTATCTCAGTCAGTCTGCCTGTTCTGCTCCCCACTCTGTCTCTGGTGAATCCTCTCATCCTTACACTTCCGGCCTGTACCGGAAAAAAAAAATTTTTTTAAAAAAGGAAAGTATCTGTTCCCTTCTCCTTTTTTAACACATTCACTTTTTTCCCTCCCAGGATCTGGATGGAGCTTTGCCCATTATCCAGAATTATAAGGACCGATTGTTGGCAATTGGAGAGGTAAACACGTCTCAGCTGATGGGATGGCTCCCATTCAGGCTTTCATATGACGCATGAAAATAATCCTTTATTCAGTCTTTGTAACTATTGATGCCGTAATGTCAGGTCAGGTCTGGACCCAGCCAGGAGTGGACCCCAGGCTGTGGGGGCAGTGATAACCCCCAGCTACGAGCCTACCAGGGCTGGGGTCTCCTGAAGCCGCAGCAGGAAGTCGCTGGTGCTCAGGCAGGCAGGCGGAAGGAGCAGATTTGTTTGGAGAAACAGATACAAGGAAATGCTTATTAGGGAGAAAGGAACAGAAATAAGTGGGACCCCAGGTCTGTGGACCAGGCAGGGAGGGGCCGGGGGGACCGTGGAGTCGTGCTCCGGGGTGCAGCCTGCATTCCCTACCCTCCCTGCAGTCCTGTCTCTGTGCCGGGTTCGCTCTGGGTGGTCTCTCTCAACCTTTTAGTCTCTGTGCCCAGAATCACATCTCCCTCCCCGCGGGGTCCTGTTTCTTTATTGTCCTTGTCCAGGACGTCCTGCTGTCCCCAGCTCTGGGGGTCTGATGAGTCCAATGTGGGATTTGCTGCCCTTATCTCTGGAGCCTCCCAGACTCCTCCAGCATTTCCTGTTCTCTCCTGCCCCTTGGAGCTACCCACTTGCCCTGTGACTCATTATCCATCACTTGGATAATTATATTCTCCCTGTTCAGCTGAGTAATAATTTGCTGATAATTCCTCAATAAGCAGAAGAGTTCAGAGATGAATACTCACCATAGGCTGACATCACCCAGAGAAGATGCTGGATTATCACTTCTATGTACTTGGCTCTTTTATTTTTTTAAATATGGGTCATCTCTCTGATTGGCTAAAATATATACAAACATACTTTACATAGGCCAAACTTTATAAATAAAGCACACTTTACTAAATAAGTTATAGCTATAAAACATTTATCACTTGGTAATAAATCCCAATTCTAATTAAAGATACAAGACAAGAGTAGCACTTAAACTAACAATGTAGACTGTAGCATGGGGGGCCCAGTAATATCGTGGGGAGCGGCCCCTTATCCTCCTCCCTGTCTGCTCTGGTAGCTGCATGCCACTGACATGTGCTGTCGAGGAAAAACAACAAGAGTTTCAAATCTCAGTATACCCCGAAAAAGAACACAAAAGAACACGATCTTTTTTTGTACTATTGGAATTATTGAAATAATATCACCATATAATAATAATGATCGTGTTCATTCAGGGTATATTCTATGAGAAACATTGTTCAGATTAATTCCATCTGCTTCATGTGACTGTTTTTATGGCTGCTGGAAAGTCTAAACTCATACTTGCGACCTGCGTGTATGACATTTGTCTTGGACAGGACTGTTTTGGAGGTTCATTAAGCCATAAACACAAGGTCTTTTATTTTTCTGTTACAGGTTGGACTCGACTTCTCACCCAGATTTGCTGCCATGGATGAGCAGAAGCAGGAGCAAAGAGAAGTCCTAACCAGACAGATCCAACTAGCCAAGAGCCTGGATTTGCCTTTGTGAGTTAACCTATCATCTGTGTGCATGGAGCAAGAACGACAATTAAAATTCTGACTCTGAAATGGAGCACTATATTTCTTTTTCCTTGAATAATTTTAATAGGATGAAAATAATACTTTCAGACTAAGTACTTTAAAGGAATTTTTTTCTGTTCAACAGAAATGTTCACTCGCGCTCAGCTGGGAGACCCACCATCAGCCTCCTCAAGGAGCAAGGTAGGCAGGCACTGGGAGAAGTGCGCTCGAGGCTGGGGCTTCACGCCTGCTCATCTTCTCTCTGGGCGCCCATGTCTTAGTTTCTTACAGGGAAGCAGGCAGGGCCAGGGTGGAGGTGGAGATGCCCCGGCGGTTCTGTGAGTCAGCTTCCTGATCAGGGTTTCCAGAATGGCTTCCATGTGTCAGGCTGGGCCAAAGCAAATGAAAGATCTCATCAAGTGATTTCTTTTTTTTTTTTTTTAAGTTTTTTTTTTTTTTAAAGATTTATTTATTTATTTATTTATTTATTTATTTATTTATACAAGATCAGGGGTACAGACCAGATGTGCAGGAGGGTGAGAGAATTCACCAGAGACAGAGATTTTGCTCTTTCACCCCTCTCTAAGAGAACAGAACAAGCAGACTGACTGAAATACACTGCTGAGGGGAGCAGCAGGTGAGACAGGAGAGGTCTGTCACGCCATGTGGGATTCTTGCCGGCTGACCGGGATCAAACCCGCGCTGCCGAGGCTATGGACAGCTTTACAGTGCGACGCTCAACCGCCTGCGCTACCAGGGAGGCCCTTAAGATTTATTTATACATACAAGAACTGAGGTATAGGCCAGAGGTGTGGGGGGTGAGAGGATTCACCAGAGACAGAATGGGGAACAGAACAGGCAGAGTGACTGAAATACACTGCTGCGGGGAGCAGCGGGCAAGTCAGGAGAGGTCCACTACACCATGTGGGTAGCTCCCTGGCCTGGAATCCAACTTGTGCTGCAGTGGCTGCGGACAGCTTCATAGGTTGTGTCTTTGATACTGAAATTGTGGGTTTTCAGACCTAGTCTCCCAGCCAGAAACAGATCCCAGGCTGCAGTGGCAGCACTGAGTCCCAGCCAGACCACCACAGGTTGGTGTCTCATGAAGCCGCAGCAGGAACTTCGCAGATGCTCATGCAAGCAAATGAGAAGAGGCAGATTTGTTTTAGAAAAAGAAAAAGCTTATTGAGGAGAAAAGGAACAGAAATAAAGTGGGACTCCCAGGCCATGGAACCAGGCCAAGGAGGGGCAAGGAAGCCGAAGTGGAGTCGTGACTCAGGGAATATAGACCTTCTTTCCCTAATTATTCTAAAGCACCAGTCTCATTGTGATTGGTTAGTTCTCAGAGGTCTCACTAACTGCCTAAATGTCTCTGTACCCAGAACTAAGTCTCTGTGTCCCAGCCCTTGTCTTTTTTTCTTCATTGTCCTCTATTTGAAATGTCTTGTTGACCCTAAGGTCATAAAGTAAGTCCCAAATATCATAAGTTCTGGGGTGTTTGATTAGTCCCCTTTGGAATTTGTTGCCCTTAGCTCTGGAGCCTTCCTTAACTCTGCTGAAGTCCCTGCACTGTCCTTGAGGCTGCCTAATTATCTTTATCTTGCCCTAGGATTCATCTTAACCCCTTGTGCCACCAGGGAGGCCCCGCATCAAGTGATTTCTATTCCCCAATCTAAATATTAGCATCTCCAGTTTCTTAGCTTGTCCTACTGATCAATAAGAGGAAAAATCTGCAGCTACGTTGGGGTTGGTTTTGCATGATTCTGCTGCTGCTTTGGGAAACGATTCTGTGCAGATGGTGGCCGACATACTTGGAACATGCTTGCCTCATCCTTGCCTGGTGTCTCTAACATGAGAGCATGTCTTAAGCATTGTTTCTCACGCTCTTTAGAGTGCTGTCTGCAGCAAGAAGTATTCTTTGATACTCATGTAAATACACATGCCTTAAGGGCTAAGACTTTGAGACCCAGTGTGTACATAACGTGTATACACAAACTCACGTAACATGGTACAGCACGTGTTGTCGGTCATGATGCACTAAATTGATTTCATGCCTCACCTTCACAATGGGCCCTACCTACTTGTGAAGGACCAGCATGAGACAGTGCAGAAAGCGTAACCGCACACAGACAGGAAGCACTGTGTTCCTCGGCCCTTCTGGAATCTCTTGAGCATGATCTTACTGCAGGCGAGCGGCCACCCCAGGAGTGAAGCCACCTCTGACTGTTGGCTCTGTGGATCAGTGAGGTCTCTGCTTCTTCTTCCACCTTCATTCTTGTTAAGGACAATTTGCTTGAAAACCTGTGAGCAACAGTAATTTGACACTTCCAAGCTCTGGAAAAGGGATGGCATAGGAAGTTTAAGCAATTGTTTAAAAATGTGTATTTCTATGTTATTGAATGATTTTATTATGAGGATTAAGAATTTACTGTGTAGGGCCTCCCTGCTGGCACAGAGGTTAAAGACAGCGCTATCAAGCTTTCTTCAGCCACTGTAGAACGAGTTCGAGCCCCAGGCAGCAAGCTACCCTCATGGTGCGGCAGACCTCTCCTGTCTCCCCGCTGCTCCCCTCAGCAATGTATTTCAGTCGATCTGCCTGTTCTGTTCCCCACTCTGTCACTGGTGAATCCTCTCACCCCGCCAACACCTCTGACTTATACCCCAGTTCTTGTATGCATAAATAATCTTTAAAAAAAAAAAAAAGAATTTACCATGTAGTTTGACGCTCCCATTTGAACACTGTACCATTATCTGCCCTTGGGAAGGCACAGACCCTCATCTTTATGTCATTGTGACTCAAGTTTATTTAAATTTCTGTGTTGCTCGTTTCTATTAATGGAGAAACCTGTCATTAAGGAATAACTCTGCTTTTTGAGGCGCTGACAAGGTGCTGCTGCATGCATTCGACGGCCGGCCAGCCGCAGCCATGGAAGGGGTCCAGGCCGGGTACTTCTTCTCCATTCCTCCTTCTGTCGTGAGAAGTGGGCAGGTGAGCGTTTAAACTTCATTTTACACTCTGTGAAAAACACTTTAAAATGTGAGCTTTACTGGGCCTCCCCTGGTGGCACAGCAGTTGAACGCTGGGCTGCGAAGCTGCCTGCAGCCTCTGCAGTGCCTGTTCGATCCTCGGCTGCCAGTGGGGGTCCCACATGGCACGCAGACCTCTCCTGCCGCACCCTCTGCTCCCCTCAGCAGTGTATTTCGTCAGTCTGCCTGTTCTGTTCCCGCTCTGGCTCTGGTGAGTTCTCTCACCCTCCTGTGCTTCTGACTGTGCCCGGTGCTTACATAAATAGATGAATAAATCTTTAAAAAATAAATAAATAAATAAAATGTGAGCTTTACTTAGGTTTGTGTGATCCTGTTCTAGTTAAGTTACAGAAATTAATCCTAGGTCTTTACCTCAGACTTACATAAAAATTAACTCAAAAATGGGTCAGAGACCTAAGTGTAAGAGCTAAAATTATAAAACTCCTAGAGGAAAACAGACCTAAATGTTTGTGATCTTGGATTAGGTGATAGTTTCTTAGGGCATCAAAAATAGATAGATTGGACATCTTCCCTGGGGCCTCCCTGGTGGCGCAAGGGATTAATCACCACACTGAAGCAATCCGCAGCCTCTGAAGCACGAGTTCGATCCCGACTGGCCAGGGAGAGCAACCCACATAGCGCAGCAGACCTCTTGTGTCTCTCCCGCTGCTCCCCTCAGCAGTGTACTTCGGTCAATCTGCCTGTTCTGTTCTCCACTCTGTCTCTGGTGAATCCTCTCACCTCCCACATCTCTGGCATGTACCCCAGCTCTTGTATGCATCAATAAATAAATATTTAAAAAAAAATTGGACATCTTCCAAATTTAAAAATTCCACAATAAAAAAATCTCTGGAGGGCCTCCCCTGGTGGCGCAGCGGTTGAGCGCAGGGCTGCGAAGCTGCCTGCAGCCTTTGCAGCGCCGGTTCAATCCCTGGCCACCAGCAAGGGTCCCACATGGCGTGCAGACCTCTCCTGCTGCGCCCGCTGCTCCCCTCAGCAGTGTATTTCGTCAGTCTGCGTGTTCTGTCCCCAGCTCTGGCTCTGGTGAATTCTCTCACCCTCCCGTGTTTCTGATTGTACCCAATACTTATATAAATAAATAAATCTTAAAAAAAAAATCTTTGGAGCTGGCCAACCTGGTGGTGCAGGGGGTTAAGATGCAGCACTATGAAGCTATCTGCAGCCACTGCAGCACAAGTTTGATCCCCAGCCAGGGAGGTGACCCCCATGGCCCAGCAGACCTCTCCCGTCTGGCCCACTGCTCCCCTCAGTAGTGTATTTTAGTCAATCCACCTGTTCTACTCCACACTCTGTCTCTGGTGAATCCTCTCACCCCCCACACCTCTGGCCTGTACCCCAGTTCTTGTATGCATAAATGAATAAATCTTTAAAAAAAATCTTTGGAGCTATTATGTTTCAACATGCGCTGTCAAGAGAGTAAAAGATAAGCCACAGACTGAGGGAAATACTTGCTAGTAACACATCTGAAAAGGGCCTCATGTATATAAAGCAGCATAACAACAATGAAAACAACTCAATTTGAAAAAAAGACAAAGGATTTGTATAGACACTTCTCCAAAGAAGACACACAGATGACCAATATGCCACACACAAAGGAGTGCACACTGTTAGCCCTCAGGGAGGTGCCAGAGGTTCAGTGAAGTGTTGCTTCTACCTGCTCAGCTTGGTAGGACCTCAGGAAGCTCAGCTCCTGGTCAATGGGGAGAGAAGCGGAAGCACAAACACCCCCCCACACACACACACACACACAAGGATGTTCACAGTGGCATTTGTCCTAACGGCTAAAATGGGAACAACCCAAATGTCCATCCACTATGAATAAACAACGGGGTGGTCTCCACAGTGACATGTTATCCTGTGAAAATGAATGAAGTACCAATCCATGCCAAAGCATGGACAAACCTCCAAATTATCATGCTTCGCAGAAGCAGCCAGACACACAGACCTGGCTCCCTGCTTAGGCTCTGGGGTTCCAGGCGTTCTCTGCAGCTAATGTCCTGCTGAAATCTAACTGCTAGTAGTGGAAGAATAAAGTGTCATCCACTTGTGAATATTTTTTTTAAGATTTGTTTTTATTATTTATTATTTAATTTATTTATGCACACATGAACTGAGTTGTAGGCCAGAGGTCCAGGGGGTATAAGGTCTCACCTAAGACAGAGTCAGAAGCAGAACAGGCAGATCTACTGAAACCCGCTCCTGATGAGAGTATTGGGCAGTCAGGAGAGGTCTGCTGCGCCATGTGGGTCAGCTCCCTGGACAGGGATCGAACACAGGCCTCAGTGGCAGTGGCTTGATAGAGCTGAGACTAACCCCTGCACCACCAGGGAGGCCCTACTAATTGAATATTAAAGCATGAATTTGGGGTTCCTGCAGAACAGAATGTTTTAGTATATGACTTAATGCTCTTTTTTTCTTTATTTCTTACATTCAACACTTAATAGCTTTCTCTTTTCTTTAAGAAGCAGAAACTTGTCAAACAGTTGCCTTTAACGTCAATGTGCTTAGAAACAGATTCACCTGCACTAGGACCAGAAAAGCAGGTACATGATTTTCTTGTTTCTACAGTGTTTCGATTCTACCCTTTATTAGAGTTATTTTTGGGTCAGCATTGTTTCTCCTTGTAGTGAATGAAAACAAGTGGAACAGAATGAGATATAATGGAATCCCATTTTAACGCTAGCTTGAGGGCTTATATTAACTTTATTCCAGATCCCTTCTAAATATAGCTGTGGTGGGGGCCTCCCTGGTGGCGCAAGGGGTTAAGATGCAGCGCTATGAAGCTTATCTACAGCCACTGCTGCAAGAGTTCGATCCCTGGCCAGGGATCTGACCCACATGGCGCAACAGACCTCTCCTGTCTCCCGGTTGCTTCCCTCAGCAGTGTAGTTCAGTACATCTGCCTATTCTGCTCCCCACTCTGCACTCTGTCTCTGGTGAATCCTCTTACCACCCGCCCCCATCTGCAGCCTGCACCCTAGCTCTTGTATGCATAAATAAATAAATCTTAAAACAAACAATAGCTGTGGTGCTCCAGAGAATATCATCTGATGTGGGCATATCCTAACTGATGGAATAAGTACAGCCAGACAAGTATGTAAAGCGTCTTCAGTCAGAAAGATCTGGATTGAAATCCCATCTTTGCTGTCCACAAGTTGTGTGACTTTGGGCAAGCTACTCCATCTCTCTGAAACTTTTTCTTCCTTTACAAAATGTGAACAAAAAAATACAATACTTTGAAGTGTGGTGAGGATTAAGTGAATAACGTGTATGAAGGTGCCTAGCAGTATCTGGTTTATGGTAGGAACTCGATAAATGTTTACTTTTCTTTTTTGAATTGGCCTGTTATCCTGAGGCTCTATTTCTTATTGATAAAGTCACACATTCCTTATGTGATCTTTGCTGTATGTTTCATTGTCAGCCACAAAGAGTCATATTTTCAATATCGCTGCTGCTTTATGATTTCCTGAAATTAAGTAGCAGTGTCTGCTTTCTTCCTCTGGGTAGTACCTGCAGTCACCTCCCAAAGCAGAGCCAGCTAAGCCCCCTGACGCCCGTCAGGCCCATCTCCATGCCAGCCAGACTCCAAGGGCAGGCGCTTAGGAGAAGTGGTTTTCAGTGAACTGTGACAGCCTGCTAGGTGGGGTCCAGATGGCTACGTGTGTCCATAGATCAGCATTTACAAAAATACAGAGGACAGAGGAAGGAGGAAATAGAGGATCACAGTGCCGGTTATTTTTCCGTTTGGGTGTAGACAGAATGGCACACAGTTGCCCTCCTGGTTAGTGTAAAATAGGAGAAGGACTTGGCATTGTTCTTTCCAAACAGAGAGAAATCCTGAATGCTGATGTCACTCAGTTTTATATGTGTACTTAATTTAATTAAAAAAATCAGGTACTCAGTGACTATTTCTGGAATGCAAACAATTTTTGAGCTGGATATGCATGTTGTTAAGATGTGTTTGTTCTAAAAAATTAGACAACACAAATAATCATAAACAAGAAAATAAAACCGTGTGCCCTGTAAGGCACATGCCACAAGGCAGGGGTTAGAGAGTAGACTGCCAACAGGTTGCCTGGGTTTGAACCTCTGCAGGGTTCCTTACTGGCTGTCTAGGATCCCTTCCTATCTACAAAGAAGGGTGCTGCTAATGATTGTTCTTAATTCATAGAGTTATTTTGAGAATTAAATGACAAATTCCGTGAGAAGCTTGAAACAAATCATCACCTACAATAAGCACTAAATAAATACAAGTTCTTATGTCCATCCAGATTTTTTTATATCCATTAATACATGCACATATATTTTTTCATAACACATTATTCCATAAATTGTTTTTATGTGCTGAACATCTATATGCACTTTCCCTCATCATGTTTAATGGCTGGGTAATATTTCAGTGTGTGATGCTGCCACGATGTCCTTAACTTGGTGTCATCACTTAGGTTGCTCCCAACACCGCATTCAAAACAATATGGTGATCACTCTTTTTTGTTTGTTTTTTAGGACTTATTTTATGCTGGCATGCTTGCAAGACCTGGGGTATAAGCCAGAGGTCCACGGGGTAGGAGTGAGAGGATTCACCAGAGACAGAGTGGGGAACAGAACAGGCGGATCCACTGAAAAACACTGCTGAGGGGAACAGTGGGAAGACAGGAGAGGTCTGCTGCACCAGGTGGGTCAGCTCCCTGGCCGGGGGTCGGACTCAGGCCTTAGGGGTGATAGTGCTGAGACCTTAACCCCAGCACCACCTGGGAGGCCCAACACTCTTGAACATAAATCCTGGTGCACATTGTTCTTTTCTTAGGCCACATTTTTTTGTTTTTTGTCCTAGTAGTTATTCATCTGACTATTATCATCTTGAGTAGAAGATTTAATAAATAAAAATACATTTCATCAAATCTAAATGCTACTGATTATAGGTGTACAATTGTTTTATGACCAGTAAGAAAGAAACCCTGCCAGTTACACTCGGATGGGCCTCTGAGTATAAGTAAATGCAGTGTGTTCATTTCACAGGTGTTAAAATGGGGGTACAGGGGCCTCCCTAGTACCCCAGGGGTTAAAGACAGTACTATCAAGCTATCTACAGCCACTGCAGCCTGAGTTCGATCCCCGGCCAGGGAACTACCCACATGGCACAGCAGACCTCTCCTGTCTCCCCGCTGCTCCCCTCAGCAGTGGATTTAAGTGGATCCACCTGTTCTGTTCCCCACTCTGTCTCTGGGGAATCCTCTCACCCCCACATCTCTGGCCTGTGCCCTAGCTATTGTATGCATACATAAATAAATCTTTTTTTAATTTTATTTTTATATTCCCTATACAATTGCAACCCCCTAATATTGACCCCAATCCCTACCCTCCTGCCCCCTACCCCCCAAAAAGTGTCTCTGTTTCAAGGTTTTTTGTTGATTTTGATTTTCACTTTCTTATAGGTATTCATTTTCCTGGTCCCTTATTTAAGTTTTCTAGATTCCTGCTATGAGTGAGACCATCCGTTATTTTTCTTTTTCTTTCTGGCTTATTTCGCTGAGCATGATCCCTTCCAGCGCCATCCATGTTGCTGCAAATTGCATGTGTTTATCTTTTTTGAATGCTGAGTAATATTCCATGGTATATATGTACCACATCTTCTTGATCCAGTCATCTCTTTTTGGGCATTTGGGTTGTTTCCAAAGCTTAGCTATTGTAAATAGTGCTGCTATAAACATGGGGGTGCAGGTGTTCTTTGGAATTGATGTTTCTGTGTCCTTTGGGTAAATACCTAGGAGTGGAATTGCTGGGTCATATGGAAGCTCTATGTTTAGTAGGTCCAGAAATCTCCACACAGCTCTCCATAGTGGTTGGACCAGTCTGCACTCCCACCAACAGTGCAGAAGAGTTCCTTTTTCTCCACACCCTTGCCAACATTTGTTGCTGTTTTTTTTAATATGTGCCATTCTCACTGGTGTAAGATGGTATTTCATGGTGGTTTTGATTTGCATTTCCCTGATTACAAGTGATGTTGAACATTTTTTTCATATGTCTGTTGGCCATTTGCATTTCCTCTTCAGAGAAGTTTCTTTTTAGCTCTTCTGCCCATTTTTTGACTGGATTATTTTCTTGGTTGTTGTTGAGTCTCATCAGCTCTTTGCAGATTTTTGTGATCAGTCCTTTATCATTAGTGTTGTGTGCAAAAATGTTCTCCCAGTTGGTGGGGTTTCTCTTTGTTTTTGTTATTGTCTCTTTTGCTGTGCAGAAGTTCTTTAATTTGATGTAGTCCCAGCTGTTTATCTTTGCCTTCACTATCACTGCTTTGGGTGATGTGTCTGTAAAGATGTCTTTGATGTGCAAATCACGTAGTGTTTCGCCTATATTTCCTTCTATGTATTTTATGGTTTCAGGTCTTTTTTTTTTTTTTGTAATAGAGGCATGTTTTATTTATTTATTTGTTTGTTTGTTTGTTTGTTTATACATGCACTGGGTACAGTCAGAAGCGCGGGAGGGTAAGAGAATTCACCAGAGCCAGAGCGGGGAGCAGAGCAGGCAGAAGGACCGAAGTACACTGCTGAGGGGAGCAGCGGGCGGCAGGAGAGGTCTGCGCACCACGTGGGACCCTCCTCCAGTGGCCGGGGAGCAGCCAGGGATCAAACCGGCGCCGCAGAGGCCGCAGGCAGCCTCGCAACCCAGCGCTCAACCGCTGCGCCACCGGGGAGGCCCTGGTTTCAGGTCTTATGTCTAGTTCTTTAATCCATTTTGAGTTGATTTTTGTGTATGGTGTGAGGTAGTGGTCAAGCTTCATTCTTTTGCATGTAGCAACCCAGTTTTCCCAGCACCATTTATTGAAGAAAATTTCTTTGCTCCAATGCATAGTCTTTGCTCCTTTGTCAAATATTAGTTGACCATAAATCTGTGGGTTTATTTCTGGATTTTCTATTTGATTCCATTGGTTTGTATGTCTGTTCTTGTTCCAATACCATGCAGTTTTGATGACTATGGCTTTGTAGTATAGTTTGAAGTCTGGGCGTGTGATGCCTCCATTCCCTTCTTTTTTTTTTTTTCAGGAGAGCTTTGGCTATTCGGGGTTTTTGGTGATTCCATATGAATTTCATTAATAATTGTTCTATTTCTTTGAAGAATGACATTGAAATTTTGATTGGAATAGCATTGAATCTGTATATTGCTTTTGGTAGGATGGCCATTTTAATAATGTTTATTCTTCCAATCCATGAGCAGGGGATGTCTTTCCATTTCTTTGTGTCTTCGTCTATTTCTTTTAACAGTGTTTTATAGTTTTCTTTGTATAGGTCCTTTACCTCTTTTGTTAGGTTTATTCCCAAGTATTTGATTTTTTTTATTTTGATAATAAAAGGGATGGTTTTTTTTATTTCTTCTTCTTCAGATTTATTGTTTGTGTATAAGTAGGCTACTGACTTTTGCGTGTTGATTTTGTATCCTGCCACTTTACTGAACTGATTGATGAGTTGAATTAGTTTTTCTGTGGAGTTTTTGGGGTTTTCTATGTATATTATCATATCATCTGCAAATAGTGATAGTTTGACTT